AATTCACGGGCAACAGCTCTGGTGGACATTCCTGCAGTCAGCATGCCAATTGCACGCTCCCGCAAAACTTGCGACATCTGTGGCATTGTGCTGTGTGATAAAACTGCACATTTTAGAGTGGCCTTTTATTGTGGCCAGCCTAAGGCACACCTGTGCAATAATCATGCTGTCTAATCAGCATCTTGATATGCCACACCTGTGAGGTGGATGGATTATCTCGGCAAAGGAGAAGTGCTCACTAACACAGATTTAGACAGATTTGTGAACAATATTTGAGAGAAATAGGCCTTTTGTGCACATAGAAAAAGTCTTAGATCTTTGAGTTCAGCTCATGAAAAATGGGGGCAAAAACAAAAGTGTTGCGTTTATAATTTTGTTCAGCGTAGATGAGATGTACAGTGAGACAATAGAGATTTTTTTAAAGATCTGTTCTTATGGAGTTAGATTTGTGCACCAATGCAAGGTTTAAATAAATGAATGAATGAATGATGCATTTATATAGTGCTTTATTGTGTATTGTTGTACACCCAAAGCGCTTTACAATCATATGGGGGGTCTCTCCTCAACCACCACCAGTGTGCAGCATCCACTTGGATGATGTGACGGCAGCCACAGGACAGCGGCGCCAGTGCGCTCACCACACACCAGCTACAGGTGGAGAGGAGAGAGAGTCATAGAGCCAATCAAGTGGATGGGGATTATTAGGAGGCCATGATTGACAAAGGCCAGGGGGGCAATTTGGCCAGGACACCGGGGTTACACCCCTACTCTTTACGAGAAGTGCCATGGGATTTTTAATGACCACTAAGAGTCAGGACCTCGGTTTAATGTCTCATCCGAAGGACGGCATGTATTATCCAGTACTGTGACTCTGCTGGAAGTACAACTGAAGATGCGAAGAACAACTTCAATCGAGTGTAAAAAAGTCTCGAGTCGGTTGTGTAATATAATGACCATAATTTGATTGGATTGGTTGCAAAAAAAATCTCAGGAGATCTCAGCCTCTTCTCAGAACTCTAAAGAAACTCTCGTACACCGTGTAACAGGTCATATCCTCGATCGTCCGGTGTGGGAACGAGGATTGCTATGCAGCGTTTTCCCTGACCGCTCTAACAGGAACCCAGAGCTTCAGATGAATGGCTTCCTCTCGCTCCTAAAAATGTACCCGGCGTTCTAAAGCTCAAAGTTTAGGAGGCTTCAGGAGGGAAGAGGGGGTGTGATTGGTTCAGCAGGTGAGGACTGGGAATGCTAGATAAAGAACAGAATTTCTTGCATCACTTCCACTGTTTGTTCTTCTCTTTATTTCCAAGCGATGGAATGCTTTGCCATTCAGGAGGCAAGGAATTCAAAACAAGTTCATTGAGTTTGAATAGCGTCTTCTTTTTAAAGCCGTGTTTGACCACCCCACCCTAATATCACAAAGGCCTATTCACAATACACATCCTTCAGCTTCCAAGAATAGATTTCCTGCCCTGAAACCCCTCTTCATTTGATCTGAGGGTGCAAAGTAATGTTTGCTTTTGCTCAAGTGTCTGTTGTGGGATTTGTTCACATTTACTGTAAATAGGTGGGGTGGGTAACAGGAAGTGGCACTGCCAAGTGGGCCAGACGTGTACAACAGCCATACTGAGGATAAACAGACAGCTACTCAGCGCCCCCTGCTGTTCTGGAGGGGAAAAAAGTACTATTTTGTAATGAAAATAACAGTGTCCTGCTTAGAATATTTAAATTTTTAGAAAATTTGTATGTGAAAGTGTTGCTAATTAAAGGTGATTAAACTATTACAGATATCTTTCGTTAATTGAAATAAAGCTGAAATCTGAAAAACTTCTAACTGAACTAAAAACAACTGAAATAATAAAGTTTAAGTTGAATTACTTAAATCACTAAAAATAAAACTGAAATAAAAGCTAAATAGAAATACTTAAATAAAAATGGAAATAAACTGAAAATAGAAGCTAATTCAAAATATTAATTAATACTATAATAGTATATAAATAATACAAAAATAACACTGATTTCATTATTCTCAATATCACCAAATAACAAATGAAAGGGTTAGTTCACCCAAAAATGAAAATTCTGTCATTAATTACTCACCCTCATGTTGTTCGAGACCCGTAAGACCTTCGTTCATCTTCGGAACACAATTTAAGATATTTTTGATGAAATATGAGGGCTCTCTGACCCTCCCTTAGACAGCAAGGTAACTACCACGTTCAAGGTCCAGAAAAGTACCAAGATGATCGACAAAGTAGTCCGTGTGACATCAGCGGTTCAACTGTAAAGTAATATTGACAAAAATAACGACTTTATTCCATTTTTTCGTCTCTACTGCGCCACTTGTGGACGCGCCGCCACACGCTCGCGTCATGGTACTGTCGTGAACGCGCATCCACAAGTGACGCAGTAGAAAGGAAAATGTGGAATAAAGTCGTTATTTTTGTCAATATTACTTTACAGTTGAACCGCTGATGTCACACGGACTACTTTGTCGATCATCTTGGTACTTTTCTGGACCTTGATCGTGGTAGTTACCTTGCTGTCTATGGGAGGGTCAGAGAGCCCTCAGATTTCATCAAAAATATCTTAAATTGTGTTCCGAAGATGAACGAAGGTCTTACGGGCTTCGAACAACACGAGGGTGAGTAATTAATGACAGAATTTTCATTTTTGGGTGAACTAACCCTTTAAAAAAAATTAAACTACTACAATAAGTATATCCAACCATACAATTTGTACTATATCATTCCTCAACTGCTTGATTGCTTGTATCAACAAAATGCAAACTGCCATGAAAATATTAAGATATTACAAACACTGCTCATGATTTTCTCTAAAGCTGCTTTGAAACAATGCGTATGCTGAAAATACCTATTCAAATAAATATGGGGGGGGGCGGGGGGGGGAAAGGAAGACAACTGATGTGGAACAGTGTGCATTATGGGACTATAAATATTCCAAACAGTAATATGCTTCATTGCATGCATGTTTATTTTCATGATTGGCATCTCAGAAATACAAATGGATATTTTGCATTTTAATCAAATTTTGTCTTAACTCTTGCTAGTTTGAACAAACAGTAAGCCAATAATTTTTAAGAGATGGTATAAATCACAATTTATAAAGAGGAGGTTCATGGATGTGCTGATGGAGGACTTGCGGGTGGTTGGTGGGACAGAGGAAGACACAGAAGACAGAGTAAAATGGAGACGGATGATCCACTGTGGTGACCCCTAATCGGGACAAGCTGAAAGACGACGACGACTACAAATCACAACTTATACTACTGACTAATTAATCACACTGGCGCAATATTGTTATGCATTACTTTTAAAAGTAACTTTCCCCAACACTGATCATAAGGGTCAGTTTTTTGAAATTGAGATTTATACAACATCTCAAAGCTGAATAAATAAGCTTTCCATTGATGTATGGTTTGTTATGATAGGACAATATTTGGCCGAGATACAACTATTTGAAAATCTGGAATCTGAGGGTGCAAAAAAAAATCTAAATATTGAGAAAATCACCTTTAAAGTTGTCCAAATGAAGTCCTTAGCAATGCATATTACTAATCAAAAATTAAGTTTGGATATATTTACGGTAGGAAATTTACTAAATATCTTTATGGAACATGATCTTTACTTAATGTCCTAATGATTTTTAGCATAAAAGAGAAATCAATAATTTTGATTACATACAATGCATTTTTGGCTATTGCTACAAATATACCCAGCGACTTAAGACTGCTTTTGTGCTCCAGGGTCACAGGTTTCATGTAGTTCTGCTTGGGGTTGTTGTAATATATGTAAAATTCATAATAAGATGATGCAGTAATTCTAAAAACAGATTTTTTTCCCCTTAAGTGTGCCTAGCTTTCCACTTCAAAAGAATGCTCAATTCTTCTTAGAGTAAACTAAACTAACAGACTCCAGCGGTTCTAGAAGGATGGAGCTTGTTCTTTACAGCTGTTTTATCAGTAACAAACACACACAGGAATTCCGGTTTGGGGAATGACCATCCTGATTCCTCACTTCCACAGGAAGGTTCAATAAAAAGAACCTCTAACACGACAAAGGCATTTCATTTCTCACATGTCCGGACAGAGCATTGTAGGCTACATCACTAAAGTCCTGTTTCTGGAGCTCAAACGTTCATCTATGGACCTCCTCCTTTCTCAGGTTCACCAGCTGGACCAGCACATATTTGGAAACAGATCCATAATTTTCAGGTAGAGTTCAGGTAAAGTTCCAAGGAAAATTGGTCACACTTTACATTACGTTTTGGAGCTGCTAGCATGACATTTCTCTATGCAGCATTTAAAACATCCGTTCCAGCTGAAATCAAGAGGCTCTAAATCTGGGTTTTACTAGTATTTTCTACGGATAAGAAAACTTCCTAATGTAATGTAAATGTAAGAAATGTGTTAAAGGTTCATGTAGAAGTGGTTGCATGATGTCTAAATAAATGAATCTAAGAATAATGTATTTTGTAAAGCAGCAATGATAGCGGAATCGTTTGTTCTTTTGTCTATACAGGTCTGTGGACGTCTGACAGACATGTGCTAACTTCAGTGTGCACTGGTATCTATTTGCTTTTGTAATAAAATACATTTAATCACAGAGCAATATTGTTGGGGTAATGCATTACAAGTAAAGAGAGTTACGTAATCAGGTTACTTTTTTCAGGTAACTAGTAAAGTAATGGATTACTTTTTAATCTATAAGAAAATATCTGAGTTACTTTTTTTAAATAATACAAGTTAATATGTTTTCCCATTTACTGAGTGACAGCTCTCTTGTCCCCATGTTGAGAGAAATCAGGAGTAAGTGTAAAGGTGTTGTGTGCGCTGTAAACATGATGGTTACTAATGTGAACATGCATTTACTCATCTCACTTGCACAAAAACAGATTCAGTATTGTTCAAAATGAATAAACACTTTGAAATGCAAACTTGGAATATGACGCAAACCAGCAATAATGAAATGTTAAATAACACAAATATCCTTTATGCATTTAATCTCATTTTATTAACCAATGACTTTGTTGCTGACTTTCGGTGATCCAATTCAACCATACTAATAAGCAAAAATTACTTTAGATAAACATAACATTTGGGTTTCATTTTTTTTGTTTATTTTTTCAGAACTAATGAGTGTTGAACTTTCTTCTGGTTAAGGCTAGATGGGATACAGCAAAAACTACTGGGCATGCACACATCAACATAGTGTAATTTTTCTCACACTGTACAACAATAATTACTATTTTTGCATTATTTTAAGGGGTAGGTTTAGGGTTGGGGTAGGTGTAGACGTTAATAAAACACAATCTAATAGGTAGAAAATTCCATTTATTGTAAACTTCCGTTTTTTGCTGTATCCCTTCTCTTGCATCCTGGGGCAAGTTCAAGCTCAAACCGGTGTGCAACGTTTTGCTACGGTTTCCGGTTTGAACGACATGTTTCCTGGAAACGGTGTGCAAAGGGGTTTGAGATGCATTTCTCTTGTTTGGTGGGTGTGTCAAAAATGTCAGCCCAATCAGCAGCAACATGTATATAAACCACACGGTATTAAAGAGACAGCTGGCACAATGTAATTAACATCAAAATAAATTCACAAGAGCAAGTATATTGTTTGCACATGTTTATTTATATTAAAGGCAAAATAACTGAAATAATAAGAGCATAAGTATAGATCTAGAACTTCTCTAAGTCTGTCTAAATATCATTTAGTGATTGCAATGTCTTCTGGTCCATATCCTTTCCTTAGGAAGGTGTGCTAGACACTGATTAATGTAACATAAAAATACTATACATATTTATATATTTTACTATTGTATTGTAGATCTGGAACTTCTCTAAGTCTGTCTAAATATCATTTAGTGATTGCAATGTCTTCTGGTCCATATCCTTTCCTTAGGAAGGTGTGCTAGACACTGATTAATGTAACATAAAAATACTATACATATTTATATATTTTACTATTGTATTGTGGAGTGACACTTTCACAAACTTTTCTATACTCCTCTGATTATATAATGGTAAATATTACAATAACATAGCACAACAACAGTGATCAGCAATAATGATAAGCCTAATACTCACAATAACATTGAGCGGATTTTGCAGTATTAAACACGTATTTATACCGATTTCATCAGGCTCTGAAAATTCAAAGAATGGCCTTCTCAGCTGCCATAGCTGCAACTCTTGTGTCATCAGAACAGAGTGTTCAACGCACCACCGTTTCCGTTTGAAAAACGTTTCGCACCGTTTTGTCGGGGTTGAACGCAGCCCTGTTCTTCATGCAATCCGGAATGGTAGCACAGCTGAAAGGTTTTGTTTGAGCTGCGCCCTCTACTGTACAGACGTGAATTTGCCAAAAAATATATATTTTATATTCAAAATCAAACAAGCAAGCCCAGCCCAGCCCCATATTGTAATGCATTTCTGTTCGTTTTTTTAAGTAACTTTCCCCAGCATTGGTGCAATATGCAGCTGATGCAGATAGATCAAGAAAATGGTAATGTGTAAATCATGTTTAATTATTTTTTATAAAAATGATGTACAATTTGTCTAAATGTTAATATTTTTTCTCTTTTCTTATATATATATATATATATATATATTTTTTTTTTTATTTATTTTTTTGACAGAAAAAAACAGTTCAGGTATTGGATTCTGTCTTGGAATTGGAGTATTTTCTTATGAAACGGTAAGTTACCTTAGATATGTTTTAAACTCCAATGACACTACTGGTATAAGGTTGATCTTTTATGAGCGGATTTACTTACGTAAATTATTTTTCATTAACCTTAAGAACAAAGACAAAAAACTAGCGTGTAATTTCACTCAGTAGAAGTGTGTTGTTGCTTTATCTTAATATGTATGGTACTTAAAAAACAAAGAGTATTATAAACTTATGAATTTTTTTTTTCCATGTTTGAAAACAAATTTGTGAAAAAACAGAGAGCCAAAGCAGGTCCGTGATGTGAACACTCGAGAGCAAGTTGCCTGTATGTCTGCAACCGTAGTTATTATAAGCGTGTATGAATATATATCTGCAGAAGACTTCAGACAACATTTAAATGGTAGGCTACTTTAAGTTAAAACCCTGTAATATTGAGTTAATTCATATTAAAAACACAAACCAACACATTCTTTACCTGTGAAAATATATCCAGTTTGTTCAGGAATTTTACATTTAGGTGGTTTTTACAACCAGATGCTCCACAATGTTGTTGCATCTTGAAACTTGTTGCATTTTATCGTGAGTGGCGGACGCGCCAACGTGTCTGGAGCGGTCGAATGTGGCACTTAATCAGCGTAGTTATCAACAGTGTTGGGGAAAGTTACTTTTAAAAGTAATGCAATACAATATTGCGTTACTCCATAAAAAAGTAACTAATTACGTTACTTAGTTACTTTTTATGGAAAGTAATGCGTTACGTTACTTTTGCACTACTTTTTAAATCTGGACAGGTCTTGCTTGTTTGTTTTTTAAATAAAAAAGTTCTATTTTTGGCAAATATAAAAGCCTTTTCACACCAAAAGTGAAATGAATAAGCCTCAGGCTGAAGGGAAAGTACATGTACGTCCGTACAGTAGAATGCAGAAGAAGACATTTCAACACACTTCATCAATAAACAAAGACACGCAAATGTTCGTCTAGAGTAATTTTTGCTTATTAGTACGGTTGAACTGGATCATCGAAGGTCAGAAGTAAAGACATTGGTTAATAGAATGGGATTAAATACATAAAGGATATTTGTGTTGTTTAACATTTAATTATTGCAGGTTTGTGTCATATTCTGAGTTGCATTATTTTTATTCATTTTGAGGAATACTGAATCTGTGTGTTTTTGAGCGAGCGAGATGAATTAATGCATATTCATATTTATTTTAGAACTACAGTAACATCTTCTGATTTCTCTCAACATGGGGACAGGAGAGCTGTCAATCAATAAATTGGAAAAAAAAAAGTAACTTGCGTTACTTATTTGAAAAAGTAACTCAGATATTCTCTTGTAAATTAAAAAGTAATGCGTTACTTTACTAGTTACTTGAAAAAAGTAATCTGATTACGTAACTCGCGTTACTTGTAATTCCTTACCCCCAACACTGGTTATCAATGCACAATCAATGCACATTAGGTGTTAATTATCACTAGAAATGGCTGCAAATATAGTGGAACTGTCTGTCCCGATGAAACCAATTCAAACAGACTGACAGCGCAGAGATGTTCGGAACTATTGAGAGCGCCATGAACCACGTGACCGCGTGGCGGCGAGATCAAAGCATGTCGCAACACGTCACTTAGTTACAATGTTGATAGCAACCACGCGTACGGAATGCCTAAAGATTCACTGGGGGCTTGAAGCAAACATGGACGATCATTCCGCAGATGAAGGAACAAGAACGGAGCCCGAGCCATTGTCTAACACAACTGAAATAAAGACGAGCGATGTGTACAAAGTGGAAAATAACTTACCAGCTCGCTTTAATAATCCGGAGTGTTTCCGAGGATACAGGTGAGAAGAGTCAGTCAGCCGCAGTGCATCATGTGTGACCTACATTTATTTAATCGTTTATGATTTATGATTCTATTTATGATTTTATATATATACACATATACATACATACATACACATATATATATAAATAGACTATCTGACTATTTGATGAATAAAAAGATAAAAAGAATAGCATTTATTAAAAATAGAAATCTTTTGTAACAATATAGCCTACACTACCGTTCAAAAGTTTGGGGTCAATATTTTTTTTTAAATCTTTTTTTGGTAAGAAATGAATGCTTTTATTACGAAAGGATGTGTTAAATTGATAAAGACTTACATTGTTAGAAAATATTTCTATTTTTAAATAAATGCTCTTCTTTTTAACTTTATTCATCAAATAACCCTGAAAAAAGTATCACAGGTTCCACAAATATATTAAGCAGCACAACTGTTTCCAACATTGATAATAAATCAGCATATTAGAATGATTTCTGAAGGATCATGTGACACTGAAGACTGGAGTAATGATGATGAAAAATTAGCTTTGCATCACAGAAATAAATTATATTTTTAAAGTATATTACAATAGAAAAGTTATTTTAATTGGTAATAATATTTTTACAATATTACTGTTTTTTTCTGTATTTTTGGTCAAATAAATGCAGCCTTGATGAACAGAAGAGACTTCTTTACAACACATTACAAATCTTACTGATCCCATACTTTTGAACAGCAGTGTGTATGTATACAAACCCGATTCCAAAAAAGTTGGGACGCTGTACAAATTGTGAATAAAAACAGAATGCAATGATGTGGAAGTCTCAAATTTCAATATTTTATTCAGAATACAACAGATGACATATCAAATGTTTAAACTGAGAAAATAAGTTGATTTTAAATTTCATGGCATCAACATCTCAAAATTTGGGACAAGGCCATGTTTACCACTGTGTGGCACCCCCTCTTCTTTTTATAACAGTCTGCAAACGTCTGGGGACTGAGGAGACAAGTTGCTCAAGTTTAGGAATAGGAATGTTGTCCCATTCTTGTCTAATACAGGCTTCTAGTTGCTCAACTGTCTTAGATGTCAACTTAGCTTTAGAGGAGAC